CAGAACAACACCTGATACCAGAGCAAGCAGGTTTCCGGCCTGGAAGATCGTGCACTGGCCAAGTGCTAAATCTAACCTAGCACATCGAGGATGGTTTCGAGAAGAATGAACCGACTGGAGTTGTGTTCGTCGACCTGACAGCTGCCTACGACACTGTTAACCACCGTTTACTTCTCGACAAGCTCTATACCATGACAAAGGACTCCCATCTGACTAAGCTTATCCAAATGCTCCTGGAAAATAGACGCTTTTATGTTGAGCTCAACGGGAAGCGCAGCAGATGGAGGAAACAAAAGAATGGTCTACCTCAGGGCAGCGTACTTGCTCCTGTCCTATTTAATGTTTCCACCAATGACCAGCCAGTGTACCCAGTGACAAGAAGCTTCATCTATGCTGATGACCTTGGCATAGCAGCCCAGAATTCCCACATAGACGAGATAGAAACCACTCTTTCGTCAGCCCTAGACAACCTGACAGACTACTACAACAACAACCATCTGAAGGCTAACCCTGCCAAGACCCAGGTTAGCTTGTTCCATCTCCGCAACTACAATGCTGGGAGGAAGCTGTCCCTGAAATGGAACGATGTCTCATTAAAACACTGCGATCACCATGTCTACCTTGGAATCACTCTTGACCGAACCCTTTCATACAAACAGCATGTTCAAAAGGTGAAGGGTAAAGTTGGGACAACGAACAACCTACTACGGAAACTGGCAAACTCATCTTGGGGTGCCAATTCCTCCACGCTGAGGTCAACTGCTCTTGCGTTGTGTTACTCTGCAGCAGAATATGCCTGCCCTGTATGGGGAAGATCATCCCATACAAAGAAAGTTGATGCAGCACTCAACGACAGCTGCAGATGCATCACTGGCTGCCTCAAGCCCACGAATGTGGACAGCTTGCACTCCCTGGCCGGCATTGCTCCATCCGATGTCCGCAGAACAGTTGCAAGTAGGACTGAACGCAGCAGACAAGTTGAGGACACCCGCCATCCCCTTTACTCGCATCAACCGGCCCCTACCCGCCTGAAGTCAAGGAAAAGCTTCCTTCGTACAGTCCAGCCACTGTCACAACCTCCTCATTCAACCAGAGTGATCTTGTGGGAAGAGAAACGTTCTGAAAACCACCACCATGAAAAGCTACCAATCCCGACCAAGGAACAGCTGCCCCCTGGCCATAGATGTGATTGGAAGACGTGGAAGTCCCTCAATAGGCTTCGCACAGGTGTGGGGCGATGTAAATACAACATGAATAAATGGGGATATACTGACGACACAGACACCAACTGCGAGTGTGGAACATCCGTGCAATCCATGTCACACCTATTAAGATGTCCACTCCTAATCGACCAATGCTGCCTGGAAGACCTAGTGGCAGCAAATGAGAAGGCTCTCCAGTGTGCCAAGGCCTGGCAGAGCATTTGAGGACACGAAAGAAGAATACAAAGTGTATATATCCTTTTCTTGAACATGATATCATTTATTTTTGGTGCTTGATAAATCTTTATAGATATTTATCACAACTATGAAATTTTAGATGGTTACCATTTTGTGTTTTTTTTTTCTTTTTACTTTTTTTTTTTTCCTTCATTTTCATTTTTTTAAATTCAGTTATAAGTTATGAGTTTTTGATCGATCGGGTGGGTGGTACATGTTCGACATTACTTACTATAGGCTCTGTATAGCTTGGCTTGTTAGAACTCTTGTGAGTAATGTGCCGCGGGATTCCATATCCTTAAACTGCTGGCGAACAGAGCAACAAGACCAAGCTCTGTAATTATTAGGATCTCTGTCCAGTAGTGCCGTGTTTGTGCCATCGAACTGGATCGACCAAATCAATTGATTCATAATATATGTATATGCAATATTTTTTCCCGTAACATGAGAGTAATTTTAATAGTTTCATACTATTAATTAAATGTATTGTTAACTGTAACTGTATAATTGTTTTAAATGGGGGCACGCTACAAGAGTCCTATCTCGCACCCCGGGGCAACGTGTCTGACACGGCCAGTTGTAGCAACTACTCAGAGGATCAAGATTACAGTAATCTTGATCTAAGGAGACACGAACGAACGAACGATGATAATGATGATGATAATGATGATTATTATTAATATAAAAATTATTTGTAATCATTATTATTATTATTGATATTGATGTTGTTTATCATCATTATTATTAATATTATTATTATTATTTTTGCTTTTATACAAAACATATATTTATCACAACTTTGCAGTTGTCATTTACCTTGTCCCCATACGTTTCTACATGTCTTTCATTTTATTGACGTAGAGGGCGCTGTTGATATGCTTATTTTATTTATTATGAATACTAATTAGTGTGCAACTTTCGGCTTTGCCGAGTTATGAATTTTTATTCTATGAGTTTTTATCTCCTCTCAGACAAAAAATTGGGGAGTTACTAGAGGTGGGTCACGAAAACAAAGAAATAGGGAGATATTCACTACTCGGCCCATGGTCTAGTAGATATGTGATGATATTTTGTCACCTAACACCAGAACCGTAGGTCCGCCCATACAAAATTTGGTATCAAAATGTGCGGGAGACATGAGGAAAAAACTGATGAAATTTCAGCGCCAAAGGTTCAGGGGTTTTGATGCAGCGGCAAAAATTTGACAGGGGCCTTATTAGGGTTTAAGTGTCAAGCTAACTTGAAATTTAGTAACATCAGTATTTAGTTTTCTCTATATGATAGTGTCAAGTGATCGTATGTTGATATGTGATACAGCGAAAGATTTTGTACACTTACCTTTAATCATATAGTCTCATTCGGTAGGAATTAAAATGAAAGATTCGACATAAAAATATTCAATATCATAACCATATTATTAAAACATGAAGCCCAAAGTTCTCTTAACTTCACAGAACGAAGAGTTTTAAAGGGGCATCATCCATCTTGCATATGACATTGCCATGCTTTGAGGTAACTCCTTTTACATCGGGGCCTTCTTGGCTGCCATTAGGACCTTGTATCACATGGTGGTAAGATCGTCGTTAATGAAGCCTCCTTTGTAGGCATCTTCCCCCTTGTGTTTAAACCTGCTATCAAAGTGCTGGTCCCACTTCCTTCTTGACAAAAACCTGACAAAAGGTCTGCTGGGTTTTGGTTTTCCTGGCTTATTTTGTTGTCCATCCTTTGATTGGGTCGGGGAGTCTTTGCGGCACGTAGCAACTTTTTTAGCTGATAGCTCAAACCTGTCTGGCATTACTTTTTTCATCAGCACCTCCTCATTCTCCTCTTGGGATTCAGGAAGGCCTGAAATCCTGAGGTTTTCCCTCCTCATACTTTGGTCTAGTTTAAATTGTATTCAGAGAAGATGGGGGTTGACTTCCTCTTTCATGAGACAAGCCTCTCTCACTGCTCATAGCTAACTGTCATTTTTCCTTTCCTTTAATGTCAATAAATTAGCCAATTACATCATCAAAACTGATTAATACACCATTGCTTGCAGACCTGTGCTCCTCCAAACTGTCAAGAGGTTTGCATGAATTTTCCTGCATTGGTTCCACCTGTGTAAGATTGTTCAGAAACTTTCCAGGTTGACATTGTGCCCTTTTAGGCCCTTTTAGGCCATTCTTTCCTCAAGCCATGATAAAATTGCAGCTGATTGCAAGTGTTTGATCCATCATGTTGCCCCATCTCGAAATCGAATGAGATACTAGATCATTTTTTAAAGACATGGTACAGCCAACTGAGATTTTTTAAATATTTCAGTCAACATCATATGTTGAAAATTTACAAATTACTTACATCTTAAGAACACTTATGAACATGTCTCAAATAAAACTATAGCTTGGGTAGCATTTTCATTACTGGTTATTAATGACATTACAGCTGTTTAGGGTAGAATTCCAATTTCACATTGCCCCATAGTCTCCTGGTGACTGATCTACATGTACACTTCTCGCTAGTCAACGATCATTGTTCATCCGTGTCACCACAAACCATCGACTCCGGTGCCGATCTGAATTCAGTGACGCTCCAGCTATGATCTCCAATGGACAGTCCGCGAACTCCAATGCTCTAACACTTATTGACTGACGTTATATGGCAGCGTTTATTTAATTTCAACTGCTTAGTTGCATGCACATCACTGCTTCGACATCTTCATGCAACACACGTTGCATAATCAACCCATGGTAATTTTCTTCTTTTCACTCCCACTCCTCTATGTTTCATTGACTTTTCTCACGTAGGAACAACCTCAGGTAAATTGTGGCTTCCCTCTAGTGGAGCAATCTAAGGTACCGAACTACAACTACTGTGCCTCTTCCTCTCACTTTCAGGGCTTGGATTTAGTACATCGCAAAACTCTGCTGCCAGGCTTGTAACACGCACACGTTCTTGTGAACACACCACTTCAATACTTCGCAAATTGCGTTGGTTGCCGGTGATGTACCGCATCTTAGTTTGAACTTATAAATGCATTCATGAATTGGCACCAATTTATCTGCAAGAACTAATCCAGGAATACAAACCCTCGCAATTTATGGTCATCTTCACAATTAAACCTCGTGTCTACTTCTGTGTCAACTCTTTCTTATGGTAATCGCTCTTTTTGCAAAGCTTCTGCTGAACTTTGGAACAGACTACCTCTCAATGTCAAAAACTGTCAAACTGTTGACCTATTCAAAACTAGTCTTAAGACACGTTTATTCAAAATTGCTTTCGATGAATAATTTACTCTGTTCACTTTGATTCCATAAATATTGTAATATGTAGGTTTATTTTCTCTTTTTTGTTTTGTTCAATATGTAATTGTTTATCAGTCTATTTTGTTTGTTATAGTGCTTAGAGACTTCGGTGGTAAGCGCTTTATAAGTAATGTTTTTATTATTATTACTGTCATCGTGTGCAAGAGGCATGTTGCTCTTACTAATTGCTCACATAGAAAAGAGCTATCATGACTGAGCTGATGCACTATTATTGTTTTAAATTTTGCCCCCAATTTTAATTTCAAATGCTGCTCACCTTTCTAAAGTAATCCTCTGTAAGGTACATGACTTTCTGTGGGGCTCCTGCACATTTAACCGGGGTATTGGGGAAAGTGAAGATAGCATTACCACACTTGAAGTTCTGCAGAGCCTTATAAGTCTTGTCTACTGTGTCATAGGAGTAGTTGCAGCATACCATAGGGTCCTCAGCCAGGGCTTCAGTCAGACCTTTCAGCTAGCGCATAAAATAAGTAAGGTTTTCAAATTGACATACACTGTATTTATTGGCTCTAAAATGGAGAAGATATAATGTACCTTTCATTCGTATACAAAATGCCTATAAAGAATGAAATCAGAGTCAAATAATTTTTGTGTATCTACATATCATAAGAAATAGTGCGGTATGGTATGTAATCCTGTAGTATTTTTGTGCCAAAGTTGATTTCTTTTTTGCTGCTTTGGCTACAAAAGGGTCCCAATTGGCCAACAAGGGAAACGCTCTCGGCAGTCTCGCCTGCTTAACGCAATTCAATATGATAAACCAGAACGTCAATGACGTAGCGCTCATCCGCATCTCACAACAACAAATATCGTAAATTTTATGTGGTACACTTTTGAACTGGTCAAAAAATAAAAATTTGATGCCCTGGAAGGGACATAATTTCATTTCATTTGCATAAAGTACCATAAATAATCAATGGAGCAAAATGTAACAATTCTGTGTAGAAGTTTAGTGTTCCAAATTTAGCTCTACCAGATAAGGCAAACCAAATCAAAATCGGTCAAGAAATGAGGGAAAAGAAGCAATTTTCGTTATTTTTTGAATAAATTTGCATAAATTACCATAATTAATTAATGGAGAACAATTTCAAAATTCTGTGTAGAAGTTTAGTGTACCAAAGTTAGCTCTACGATATAAAGCAAACCAAATCAAAATCGGTTGAGAAATGAAGGAGAAGAAGCCTTTTTTGTGATTTCAAATAAATTTGCATAAATTAGCATAGATAATGAATTTCACAATTCTGTGTAGAAATTTTAAATCCCCCTCCTAGCTCTATTATATGAAACAATCAGAATCAAAATCGGTTGAAAAATAACAAAGAAGAAGCATTCTGAACATCTTGATGTTGATGCCACAACAAAGTCTAAGTTTGTTGACCTTAAATGACCTTTGACCTTAACTTAGTGACCTGAAATTCTACTCTCATGATTGGGGAGACTTGATAACTCTATAGTCCAAGTTTCATTGACTAAGAACTTATACTTTCAAAATTATATCAAAAATTCAAAAACTTAACCTTAGGTTAAGTTTTCGATGATGATGCTACAACATAGTCCAAGTCTGTTGACCTGAAATGACCTTTGACCTTGACTTTGTGATCTGAAATTTTACTCACATGATTGGGGATACTTGATCACCTTATAGTCAAAGTTTCATTGACTAAGAACTTATGCTTTAAAAATTATATCAAAAATTCAAAAACTTAACCTTAGGTTAAGTTTTTGATGTTGACGCCGCCGCCGTCGCCGTCACCGGAAAAGCGGCGCCTATGTCTCGCTTTTTGCTACGCAGGCGAGACAAAAATGATGGGGTTCAAATTTTCAGACCCCTCCTTCATTTCCTGGGGGGTCCTAGACCGGGAGCCAGGGGGGTTAACCTAGCTGGGAAGGAAACCAATTTTCGTGTGCACAGATGTAAAGATCGCATAGCTCCACATAACAAATTGACCATCTGGCATGTTTTAAGTGGTGGGTGGGGCCAGGGGGACGCCCCCACCAAAAAAAGTGTCCCTTTTGACAACAATAGTATTATGTAAAAAAAAAAATAAGGAAACCTTAAACCACCATGAGTTTGGTGTCATATGAAAGAGTTAAATTATCTACATTTTGATACCAACTTCAAATTAATTAACATCGCAAATTTAAGTAAAAACATGATTTTTGTGATTTTTTTCGAAAATTGAATTCTATCAAAAAACATTATTTTCCATATCAAAATTGGAGAGTTGCATTTTTTCATAACTTTCCAGGAATTCGCTTATGTACAACGACAATCTCCTGTGAGAGGGAGAGGTTTATATATCGTTTCAATAAAAAGTTATAGCAATCCAAAGTTATAGATTTGATTTCCACAAAAAACAAAATTTTTGCCCACATGTGTATTAACTGTATGCATATACGTGCATTGTGTATTAAGGACCTGTTTGGTGTGTTTACATCAAGTTTTAAAGATAACTTTGAACTAAAACCTCTAATCACCATGTATTTGGTGTCAAAAGATGGATAATTAAAATACCTTCATTCTGATATCAATTTCAATGAGTGATGTAGTGTGTGAAATTTAAATTTTGAGCCAAAAAGGTGCTTTAATGTAGATATTCCTCTGATTTTTGCCAGTATATCGGTATATTAACTAGACAAATGTAATTATACACTTAGTAGTGCAGAAAGTTCAAAGGATTTAGAGTGCTGAGTGCAATTGATAAGTTCTTCTCCTGTACTCTGGGATGTTTCAGGAAATGTGGACATTGGCCAATTGGGGCCCTTTTGAAGCCAAAACAGCAACAACAAAAAATCAACTTTGGCACAAAAATCCTACGGGAGCTGTTTCAGTGACATACCGTACCACACTAAAAGCTCAGTCTCTTTTCTTTCATATGCACATGATCTACAAATCATGCATAACTTATTTCGGACAGTCTGAAGTGGCACTGTTAGAGACTCAATCATCCAAACTGATTTTCAAAGGAAGCTGTTCATGGTCACAGAGAGGTCATATTCTCCTCATCATATGACACCATAATCATTATGGAAGAATCAGGCATCACAAAGAAAGGAAAACTAGATAGAATTTGGAGTGCGCGCAGTCAAAAATGATGCCTCCGCCATAGAGCAATTAAAAAAATTCAAGTTTGATTATAATCCATCTGTTGGTTTTAATGATAATGCACTCACAAGCTATTTATAGGCATACATAATGAGCCCTATGACATTTGACCTGATGACCCTAAAATCTAATCAGTTCATTGGCTCCGCAAGATACATGTACATGTCTTGAGTTTGATAGTATTCTGTCTATTGGTTCTCATGATAATGCGATCACAAGCTATTTGTGCATACATAATGAGCCCTGTGACCTTTGACCTAGTGACCCCAAAATCTAATCAGTTCATTGGCTCTGTTAATTACATACATGACCCAAGTTTGGCAGGAATCCATTTAAACTTCTTGAGATAACGCGATCACAGCTATTTTAGAAAACATGAGCCCTGTGACCTTTGACCATCAACCTCGTGACCCCAAAATCCAATCAGCTCATTGGCTCTGTAAGATACATACATAACCTGAGTTTGGCAGGAATCCATCAACCTGTTCTTGAGATAACGTGATCACAAGCTATTTTTGCATATATAATGAGCCCTGTGACCTTTGACCTTCAACCTTGTGACCCCAAAATCTAATCAGTTCATTGGCTCTGTTAGATACATACATGACCCAAGTTTGGCAGGAATCTATTGACCGGTACTTGAGATAATGCGATCACGAGCTATTTTTGCATACATAATGAGCCCTGTGACCTTTGACCTTCAACCTTGTGACCCCAAAATCTACTCAGTTCATTGGCTCTGTAAGATACATACATGATCCAAGTTTGGTGGGAATCCATCAATTGGATCTTGAGATAACGCAATCACGAGAACGGGACGTACGTATGTACGTACGGACGGATGGACGGACAACCAGAAAACATAATGCCTCCGGCTACTTTGTAACGGAGGCATAAAAAGGGGAGGGGCACGCTTTCACACTACCCAGCAACAATAATTCTTATCTGCTCATGCAGTGCAGGAATCCTACCCATATGTATGCCAACAGCCATTTTCAGAATAAGGTGACAATCAGATTGTGCTATACCTCCTCCTTTCCTTTAAAACCTTCCTTATCCAGAGCTCTTATGGTAGAGCATCATTCCTTTCATTTGGACATTACTGACTCTAGTATAAAAGTGATTTGTAAAGGAGACATCCCCCCCAAGGAATAATTGTAGGTATTCTGAAAACTGAGATGTATTCTTGCCACTTGATGTAAAATATTCCTTATGAAAGTGCGAAAGTGATTATAAATAAAGATATTCTTGCCATGATGCAGTACCTTTTAGCACGACATCGGGGCAGCTATTTTCTAGAAAATGCGACATAACAGGCAAAGTTGTACATGTATCATGCCAAAGCTTTAGTTTGATAGACTTTTTAAATTAATAACACCTTTACTATTAAATAAAAGAAATTCGTAGCTGAGGGGGTAAAAATTATATTTAGTAAAAAACATAAAACATGGGAACAATTGTAACTCTATATTTGTAATACTAGAATATAGCAGTTGACAAATCTATTTCATTGGTGCGAAACCTTCGCCCCAGAAGAGCACCAACTTGTTTATGCGATTTGTGTTCTGGCAATTGTAGTACAAAGCATAATAGCAGATGAATGAAATACCACACAAACCTGGAATAGAAGGATCCATAAATTTGTATACATTTACTTGATAAACTACTCCGCATAGTACGTCACATTAACAAGAAAATGGTGATGCCCACGTCGTGCTGAGAAACTACATTTTCTTGCTTTATGCCTCTTTTATACACTTTGGTAGGGAATCTTGTAGATTAATGGGCAAGAATACAATAAATCTCTCAGAATAATTCAAATTATTTCTTGGGGTGTTAATCAAGCAACTCACAGCGTGAAAGTTCAACTGAAGACCCATAGCAACAACAAGGTACTCATATTCCAGGTTGGTGCCACTCTCGGTAGTTATTAGATTGTTCTCTGGGTCAAAGGTAATAGCTCTATCCTTCTTCCAGTCCACTTTTTTTGGCATGACAGATGCCATGGTGCGCATTGACTGCTCCTTGGTTTTGATCCCTCCACCAACCATTGTCCACATTGCCTGGTAGAAATGATGCTATTTGTAAAGTAAGACAGTATAAGAATGAGCATTTGGGTGTTACATCTAATGTGCATGGGATATTTCTGTGCAATGGCAAATTGTATCTACTTGTACATTACAAATTCATTTCTGCTTTCAATATGTAATACCTGACCATTATTTGATTCACTGAATTCTACATTTGAAAAATTCTGATCAAGGCTTTAATAGATTTTAACAGATTTTAACAAGATTACGGTAATGCTGTTTTGCTTTTCGAGTTACTGCACTAAGGAGATATTTTCTGCTAGCTTTTCACTATTGCTTTACCTTGAGGCATTTGACCTTTGACCTCTTCCACCTTAAATTACCCTCAGTTCATCCTTGCATGCTCATATGTACTTGATCCAAGTTTGTTTTGTCAACGGTTCTCAAGTTATCGCAGTAAAGAAAAGCAGGATGGACATATGGACAAACAATAAAAAAACATGACTCTGGCACCACCTTTGGTGGCATAAAACCTTGATGTCTTTGATAAGACTTTTAATTTAATCCTTAATTGGCATGACGCTACGACTCAACAATTACAGAACCAAAGAGGGGAAGGGTAGCGGGGAGAGGGAAGTGGGGTTTCGATAGTTCCTGAATGTTCACTAGGACGGAGTTCACAAAACCCGAGGTGAACAAAATTAACACATTTCATGACCCAACTTTAAATGAGTCAGAAGCAGGATAGGAAATACATGGGGGCAATGTGCGATTTTGCCCCTGTGAGTCTCAAAATTGCCCTCTATAAGGTTCCCCCCCCCCCAAAAAAAAAAAAAATAAATAAATAATAATAATAATAATTTGGTTGTCCTCGATTGCTTTTCTGGAGTAGGGGCAGGAGTAGAGGTGGATTTAAAAAAAAAAAAAAAAAAATCTTTTTTTAGGGGTCTTTTTTTATCTTTTTATTTATTTCTTTATAAAAAATATTTTTCCATAAAAAAAACCCCAAAATCATTGGGATGTCAAGCATTTAAACAAAGTCAATACAACACTTTGATACGGTAAAAGACTATTTTCATGTACAATAAATATCAAGACCAACTCAGAAAGTATTTTTGGCTTTGAAATACAGCACCTTTTAAATCCCCACTGTACTACAGTACTTATAGCTATACTTGCACCCTCTATTTAGCAAACAAATGGTGACCATTGGTCCCCCATGATCCTCTTTATCTTATGTTAACTGAGAGCTGATTTGATGAGATAACCACCTGTCCAGTGACTTTGCAGGGTGGTCTAATCCCTCCTGTAAACTAGTACAGATGGGCTTTAAAATGAGTTAAAAAATGCTCAGAACCTGATTTGAATATAGAAAATAAAAATGGCAAATTTAATAAATACAGAATTGTGTACTGAAAAGACCAAACTGGCAACGGGACAGATTTTGATCCTTGCAAAATGCATAAAATGGTATGTTTGGCGTTTAAGATTGCTTGCTCCCCCCCCCCCCCCCCCCCCCCCAAAAAAAAATATATACCGTAATTAACAGTGTATAAACCGCACCTTTTTGCCGCCGAAAAAAATTCAGTCGGGGGTCCGGTTTATACACGGTACACCAAATCAGTAATGGGCCATTCCATGAGAAGAAGGACATGACATCAAAAAAGAAATGTACCTCTTATGTTAATTCTTTGATTTTATCACTAACCTTATGCCATGGATGTTCATAAAACATTAGGGCCTTTCAAATTCAATACAATTTATTTTTCATTTTTGTTGATTTCCTAAGATCTCAAACCATCATCAAAAACGTACATGTGGGACTGTAGATGAAAAAAAAACAATTTATTGCAGATTACACAGGATTCTTGTAATATTTTGTCCTGAAAATTTCGCTAAATTGAAAAAGATGAATATATTTCCATATTCTAAGCCTTTTCTAAGGGGTCCTGGGATATTTAATCTATTACATAGGGGTGAAAATGGCCTCCGGACAAAATGTAACGCGAGTTACCGTAACGTGAGTTACCGACATATTTGCTTCCTGCATTTTACTAGTCCATTGTTTCTTATCTTTAATATTGTGATCTTATACTAGTAAGTCTCAACCTACTATCAACGTAGGAAAGATTTTGTCAAGATTGTCTAGTATGAGGAGACTTTGCCAAAAGAGGGTCTCATAGAATTGACCATGTCCTTTTTTTGTAACGCGAGTTACCAAAATTCAATAATCCAAGAATCTAAAAATGTTTGTTCTTCAATTTTCTTTTTGTTTCATTCAGTTGTTCTATATCTACCCTGTCCATGTTTGAAAAAAGTATCTTGCAGATCCTAGCAGTTCTAAAGATATAGGCACATTATGGGGTCAATGTACCCATTAGGTGTAACGCGAGTTACCATGGAATGGCCCTAATCGGTTTGTTGACTCACCACTCGGAAACTAGAACAACACTCAAATTTGTCTGTCATCTTGGTTTGAAAGTAATCTTTCTGATAGATCTCAATACCGTATTTTCCGGCGTAAAGACCACAGTATTTTCGGGTGAGAAAAAATCAAAAAGTCGGGGTGCGGCGTATACGCAACAACAACAAAATTCAGCGGTCAAAACATCACGTCCATTTGCACGTATGGGACTATAGGAACGGTAGCATGACTAGACAACGGTACAGGACAATTCTAGAATAACTCCACACAACTTACCGACAAGTTTATGTTGCATAGTTGACATGAAGACGAAAAAACTTATTTTTCTAATAAAATCTGCCGATAGATCTAGATCTAAGTCCATACCATTGCATCGCCAAAAGTAAACAAAGGGACAGGCGGTTACTTACGGAGCTAGCTGCCGCGCAACGCAACTGCGCAGGTCGAAAAATGCTATTTCGGATTACACCGCACATCGAGGAAGGGGTATTGTAGGATACCAAATCTGCGTACGATACAGTACTAGCTTAAAAGTCGATGAAGATCTGCTAAATTATGATCATTTTTTAGGTTAACTTCTTGTTGATTTATAAGAATATTGATGAATTTGGTATAGTTTGTAAAAAAAAAAAGAGTGTTCTACAAGAAAATTACGATCATTTTGTTTGGTCCGTTTTTTTTTTTTCTCTTTTTTTTTTGTTTTTTTTGTTTGTTTTTTTTGTTGTAGTTTTTTTTTTTCCTCTACGAAATGTCAAAGTTGGGGGTGCGGCCTATACGGCGGTGCGGTCTTTACGCCGGCAAATACGGTATGTAGTTTATAATTCCTCCAATTTTTCTTCTATTACATGGCGTACCGGAAGGTTCTATCCTAGGTCCTCTACTGTTTTTTAAATTTACATTAATGATCTTACACATTCAGCTGCACCTCCCGCGTGGGTTTTTTAACACGGACCTGGCTTGCTGCCGACAGAGTCGGCAAAAAAAAAAAGAAGTTTTTTTTTTAAGGGCGAAAAAGAGGGGTGCGGTTAATACAAGAGGGCGGTTTATACACCGTTAATTACGGTATATACGAGCGGGCGGTCGAGGACAACCAAATGATTTTTTTTTGGGGGCCTAATCCTGAAAACCGCCTCTGTATGTTGCTACTGATTCTGATCGCCCTACCTTGCACCCATAACCGCCCGGCCTGAGCCCTCATGGAAACGAGCTAGCAATTCAAAGGCGCATTGCGCTGCTAGCTCTCAAGCTCACGCACAATCTGAGTACTAGAAATAATAGACAGTAATTAATGCATGGCCCTGCGCGTGCCGATATGATCAACACCACACCATGACATCAATTTCTGTCTAATAAATGAAACTAGCTTTGACTTTAGAAATTATAAAATCCCGGCCATGATGTTGCATGTTTTGTTATAACATATGCAGTGGCAGTTGCGTACGCAGGAATTTTTCAAGAGGGGGGTTTTAACATTTTGAAATCGGGCCAAAAATTTGGCAACGACTCAGCCAGCCGCTGAATAAGTGGGGGGGGGGGGGGGGTTAAGAGGACATTTTTTTAAATTTCGCAACAACTTATCCAGCTGCTGAATATGCGGAGGGGGGGGGGGGGGGATAAGAGGACATATTTTTGTTTTTTTTGGTCCAAAAAATTTAGCAACGACCCGATCAGCCGCTGAATAATCAGGGGGGGGGGGGTAAGAGGACTTTTTTTTGGGGGGGGGGGGGGGGTGGGGTCATCTTTTTTAGGTCATCCATTAGGATTTAAACAAAAAAACAAAAAACGACACTCAAAAGGGGGGGGGGGGGGTGATTTACCCCCCCCCCCCCTGCGTACGCGCCTGTGCAGCGGGACAACAGTAAAAATAATTCACCAACATTTAATGGTTTTAAGTTATAAATAACAACATTTCAAACAAAGTTTTTTTTTTTTTAATGGGACTGCATTGTCCATGATAAAAATTCATCAATTTGGTCGCTAGCAGTATGACTAAAGAAAAACACAACTTAATGTTACAGCTTAAAACTTGAACCTTCAACTCACTCACCTCAGCAGGTTCAACCACTGCAACATGACCTTGTCCAAACTTTCGGGATAAAAAGCTTGCAGCTGCCAGCCCTCCAGTTCCTCCTCCAACTATCACAAATTTGTAGCTCTTCTTGGCCACTGGACCTGGCCCAGGGGACTCGCTTGTCTGAGGAGCAGGCTTGGCTGCAGTACTGTACCATATCTGTACCATACACAGGCAACAATAGTATGATATGACAAGAAAAATGTGACTGCGTCTTGTATTTGCCTCCGCCCCAAATTCAGTGGTACTCTTAAGGTTCTTAAGGGTAAAGACCAGTTCTGGTCATGCAATTGCATTAATTGTGAAAGAAGTATTGGTGTGTACTGCAAGATTCTGGAATCATCAAAATGATAAGAAATTTGGCCCAGTTTTGGTAAAGTTACAAGCACTGTACATAGAAAGACGTTTATAGGACTACGCAACACGTGCACGATATTTATCCGATCAAGATAGATATAATAACTTGCCAAATATATCAATTAGTAGGTGGTTTCCCGGCAAAATTTGTATCATCACGTATTAGTTAAAACATATTCTTTCACATAATTGGTAATAATTAGAGCTTCCATTTCATTTTTTGAGAGGGGGCGTTTCCAAAACTGCAAATTCAGAAATGGACTTCAATGACCTTTGACCTATTTACCAACAATGCATGACGATATCCTACCGTTTCCGGCACTAGTTTTTCTATGCACGAACACTTCACAAGCCATCAGCTGTTAGCTAGAAAATCTATGTGTATACACTGCTGTTACTAGTACTTGTTTACAATTGCTGCGAGCAGACTTTGAATTAATCATAGTAAATTATTCATCGTTTTATCAAAGATATACAAGTTATTTCAGAACAACTGTAGAATACCCCATCAAGCGAAAAAGAGCAAGTAGTAGAAGCATACAAATAAACACGTCAACGTTCTCTGGTTGCAATGCATTGGCAAATTCATGAACTGGTCACAAATACTAACGGAGGAGACTGCAATAAATGGTACCTTGGCGAGCTGGCGACCAACGGACATACGTTTTGGTGGGGTATTTTTGGTTATTCTGGATTCTGTTCGATTATTTTAAAGGTACTGTATGTCCCATTTGCAGGCCAAAAAAATGAAAAGGTTAAACTCCAATGGCATTTGAAAGACAATACTAATTTAGAACTTTTAGGTGGGAAATAACGGTCATTAAATGTTGAATCGACTTAAGTGATTGCAATCAGCTAAGTTAAAGTCTGATTTTCAGACCCTTTTACCGAATGGTTGTACGTTTTGTGCTGAACAAAGATTCAATCAGTTAAATTTTTGCCATTTCAAGTAGTGGGTTATTAATGTAGACAAATGCTCATTTATCTGTTACAGCTCATTTATGTACCGTATGTTATTACCAAAGAAAAAAAGATGTCAGTTAGTCACTCAATAGTGCCTGACAGTGAAGTCTAGAAGGTAAACAAGTTTCCTTGCATAATTTGAATACTAGGACACTGCTAATGTTTAAATTTCACAAATTATAGGAAATACTTGACATATTCATAATTCCTACAAAGTTCAACAGAATTTGATGTTGGTTGCAAAAGGGACATAGTATCTTTAAGTTGTACATGTTTGAATTGGGTAGTATTATGTCTCACTGGACCCTGGAGCACGTCAGTATTTTAATAAACTAATTTGTTAGCTTGAAGGGTCCATCTCGCACTAAGCATGCACGAACACTGAGCAAATTTCTTGAGGTCCGAGCTGATGAAGACGTGATTTGTAACTTTGGGCTAATTTCCCAGATCACAAATAGCGGGCTATTTGGCCAACTCAGGCTGATGAAGACAGACCTATGAGGACAGACCTATGAGGACACATGCTATCACCAAGTTTGAGCCTCATTTCTCTTGTGGTTTTTGAGATAACGCGATAACAAGGCTAATAGTCAGAATTTCATAAGTTGAATCATAAGTTGCAGTGACAAAATCTCATAGACCAGTACAGAAATTTTCTCCCGCGGAACCATTCCTTAAAATATCGCTAATTTTGTTATCCTCAATTTCAATTTGAAGAGTGAACATTTGCTGTACAGCGCAAGTTTCGAAATCTTATGCCATGCATCCTCTCTCATGAAATATTTTGAGTCTTTATATTTCAAACAACTTATTTTAAAAATCCCAGCCTTTTGAACAATCTGCCGTCATAACGAATGACAAGTGTCATTTTTTCTGCCCGAGGTGTGCAGCACCCTTAAAGTTTTTACATTTTAAAGGATTTCATTACTCAGATTATAATATAGATATCTTGATTTTCTGGGACAGGATAAGATTTTGTTACATCTGTAGTGACCAAATGTCATGATTTTTAACTTTTGCATTAATAACGTTTTATGCATTGATTTGTACGTGTTTAGAGTCAACTTGTTAACAAAACACCATTTTTGGACTTCCACAAATTTGTTATTTACTTCATTCATATCTATATCTTTCTGTCTTCTATCAAAAGTATGAAATAGGTTTGAATCATCAGCAAATAATCTAAATTCAAAATATTTAGTAGAAGATGGTAAATCATTAATATATAGTAAAAACAAAGTGTGCCCGAGGACTGAACCTTGAGGGACACAATATGTTATCCTTCTCCTACTTGATATTATTTCCTTGTAGCATAAGACTTGCGATCGATTTGAAAGGTAACTTTGAAACCATTGTAATACTATGCCTCGTATTCCATAATTTTTTAACTTTCCTAAAAGGATTTCATGATCAATAGTACTTGTAGAGCCCATTACTATGCATCTTAAAGAAAACTTAAAGAAAAAATTTGTAGAATGTTGGAAACAGATATTAATTCTCCTTCTTATCAAATTTACCTTTGTCTTTAAAGAAGAAGTTGAATTCAGAGTCCTGATCTGCCTTCCAATCACAGAAACAGAAGTGAGGATACCTTTCATGCACAAAGCCATCTTATCACAGTGAGTCTTCTTCGGCAGCACTTATCTAATAATCTTAGATAGCAAGGAGAGAAATTGAATTAAAAATACATAGTAAGATGTTGATACAGTGCGTATCAACAAAAAAATTGCCCAATTTTGGTAGCTTCTAATTATAAAGTTATTACATGTGTGACCTTAATCATATGTTATTGTCAAGAAGAACTATTACCCTGTCTAATGATACCATTTTCAAAATCATGCTGCCAAGTATTGTCAAAATTCCCTTGTACCAAGTTTGGGCTGAAGCAATGAATGTGGGTCAAAAGCAATTAATGTGTGTGTTATCTCATTCCAAACAATTGCTCTTTCATTTACATTGACTATTAGGCAGATGAAGAAAAAAATCAACATCAACTCAAACTCAAAGAAATGCTTACTACTGTACAAGCAAAATTTATGATATTTTCTTAGTTATGATGATTACAATCTTTACTTTCGCATCCCTTGTTTAAGGTAAATTTCTCATTGAGTGATACAAAATGGATGAAGTTTATCTGGGATGTTATCTTTTTTTATGAGAGTCTGCTGTCAATTTATTTGATATTTATCGTCAAAAATGTTCTTTCTTGCATATGGTTTTGGTAACCTTTGAGATTTTGCTCGCTATTTAGATAAACACCTTATGCTCCTTACGCGTGTGAATGGTGCAGTTGACAAGTGAGCAGAGAGGACTTAGCTATCACAAAACAAGAAGTTAGTAGGCTGTTCAAAATAATTGAAGGTTATCCTAGGGATTGAAACAAGGTTCAATGAAAGCCTAGTTACATTGCATCATTTTAAACAATGAAGCACTGGAGCACGAGGCATGATTTAACCTTTTAAAGTATTTAAGAATAAAGAAGCACATGCATATATGGCCTGACCCACATTGGTTCCTTAAGCCCGAGGCGATTTTGACAACACTTTTAAAAGACCCAGGTGCTCATTCACCCATGGCAAAAATATTATAAATAGGGTATCATTGGACAGAAAATAACTTACTCTTCATCATGAAAGCAATTCCAAAGACATATTGGTGGTCATGACTTTTCAATTAGGAGCTACCAAAATTGGGTAAACATTTTATTGAAATGCTCTGTACAAACAGTCTAGGGGAAATATGTGAAGATATATTTTACCTTAGTTATTGCAGCAATGACACTCCAAATAATTTTCTTTTTTAAATGCTGCAGCATTAGAATCTTTTTTCTTTCAATTTTGTCCTCTCTGCAATAACATAATACCATCCCTTCAAGCTAACTTAGGTAGAGGATAGGTCTTTAGGCTAACAGTGACCTTCCAATTTGACGTCATAGTAATGAATATGTACATGTATAAGCTCGCGAAAGCAACACAGGAAGTCTTGGTTCAAGTTGGAATATTAGCTGGTCAGTACAGAGGAGTGCGTAACGGCCTGTCTGTGCAGGGATGCTCCAGCCTAAAGAGAAGCTGGATTCGAGCTTGCGAGAGGAGGTGGGAGGGGGTTACAACCCACCCCCCATACTCACGCATACTCACACACACGCCAAATTTCTGCTGGAAAGAGAAAGTAAGGAAAAAAGGGAAAGCCAGAAGAGAGAGGAAGAATTAAGGAAAAAGGAAAAGGAAAGACAAAAGTGAAAGAAAGAAATGGGGGAGGTATTACACACATCCTCCCACACACACACACACACACGCGCCAAATATGTGACAACATTTAATGCCATTTCTATTGGAAAGAGAAAGGAAGAAATAAGAAAGAGGAAAAGCTGGAAGAGAGAGGAGGAATTAAAGGGAAAGGAAACACAAAAATGGGAGAAAGAAAATGGAGAGGTGTGTGAGGGAGAGAGTACGAAAAAGCAAAAAAAGGTAAAAGGAAAGGAAAAGATTAAAAAACAGTAAATGCAGGGATAGAAAGAAGAGTAAACATGGGAAACGGCGGTCTCGTCTGCTTTACGTAATTTGATATGATAAAAACTGGAGGTTGGGACATTATTTATAGTCCGGGTGGCCCATTAGCAAGCCCCCCAAAATGAAATCCTCTGAATATAATCAGCATTTTGAAGTGAATACTGACTAAGAATCAGAATTATTTCCTATAATTTGTACCAAGATTGATAAACTTTGATGAAATATGGACAAATAACGAAAACTGATTTATCAATTCTCATATTAAGTTGTGAAATCATAATCCAAGTCTACTGACCTAAAATGACCTTTGACCTTGACTTTAAAACCTTGAATTTGGGTCATATGATATGTGATACTTGATAACCCTTGGGTACAAGTTTAATGGAATTTGAACAAACACTTTTGAAATTATGCTAAAAATTCAAAATATTGATGTTGATGCCACAACAAAGTCAAGTTTGCATACCTGAAATGACATTAGACCTTGAATTTGTTACCTAAAAGACTAATCACATGAGTGGTGTATAGTTTGATAACCCTTATGTTAAAATTTCATGGAATAGGAATGTATACTTTTAAAATTATGATAAAAATTCAAAATCTTAACCTTTGGTTAAAAGGTATATCCCAGTTTTGGAAACGCCCCCCTCTAAAAAAAAATGAAATGGAAGCTCTCACTATGAACATGACAGACAAAGAAAGTGGACAAAATATACAGTTCCTCAGGTGGACAAAGGAACATCCCTTCACTGCTATTATGTAAAAAGGTGAATATGCATGTGACACCTGTTGTACACATTTTTACATAATAGCAGTGAAGGGATGTTCCTTTGCCTACCTGAGGAACTGTATATTTTGCCCGCTTTCTTTGTCAGTCATGTTCCTAGTGTCTTATTACCACTCATGTGAAAGAATATGTTTTGACTAATACGTGATGATACAAATTTTGCCCGGAATTGATATTTTAGGTAAATTATCACATCTAATACATCTATCTAAATTTCTTATCATTTTGATGATTCCAGAACCATGCAGTACACACCAATACTATATGCTAGATGATCAACCTTTTCTGATCGATTCCACAACGTTTCTTTCACAATGAAATCGCATGACCAGAACTGGTCTATACCTTTAAAGGAAATACAAAGTTTGGGGAAATTTTGAAAATTGGGTGGATAGTGATTTGTTACAATTTTGATATATTTGGATGCCCCTGTGGATGTATTATAAGCACTAGAAAATTTAGCCCCTAAAACACATATAATTTTGAGAAAATTTGAATATAAAAATTTACCAGTGCTCCCAGTAAATTTTGATAGATTTCAAATAAAGTGTACGACTGTTCAATGGTAGCTACCACCATGAAAATCTCACAATATGTAGTTGTGATATATAATTTTCTAACAGGATTAGCTAATTGGTCGATTTTAGTCAATAAATATTGTTTTATAGCTTACTTATATCTTGACCTTGAGAGGGAGCTGTACAACATAAAGAGTTAATTATTTACAATTTCATAACTTAAGACTCAATTTCAACTACGACAATGATCACTGAATATTGTAGGATCGCATGTAGGTTTTCAATATGTTCATTTGAACCAAATTCATGACCCCATACCAAAACTTTGTAATACCTTTAAGTTTTGATGTTGATGGCACAACATACTGTAGTGTAAGTTTTTGACCTGAAATGACTTTTACTTTGCCACTTGAAATTCTACTCACATGATTGGGAATACTTTATGACCCCTATGTTCAAGTTTCATGGAAGAGGAATGTATACTTTCAAAGTTATGTTAAAAATTCAAAATCGTAACCTTTTGTTACGTTTTTGAAGTTGATGCCACAACATAGTCTAAGTTTGTTGACCTGAAATGACCTTTGACCTTAACTTAGTGACCTGAAATTCTACTCAAATGATTGAGGATACTTGATAACTCTTTATTCCAAGTTTCATTGAATAAAAATTTATACTTTCAAAATTTTCAAATATATAAAAACTTAACCTTAGGTTAAGTTTTTTATGTTGACACCGCCGTCATCGGAAAAGCGGTGCCTATGTCTTGCTTTTTGCTGTGCAGGCAAGACAAAAAGAAGCCAAGAAAGAGAAAGGAGAAGAAGAGGAATACAAGCTGATAGAGAAAATAGATATAAGTGGAAAGAAACAGAATAGGAAAAACAGAAAAGAAGAAAAGAAAAGGGAGAATAAAGAAATTATAGTGACAGGATGAAGAAGAAATCAAAAGGAAACAATAAATTAAGAACCGAGACTGACGAGGGACAAGGCCGCCTAAATCAAATTATTTCAGAAAATTATCATCTGTCACAGACTCAGAGAGCAACAGCATACGTGTAAGGGGTCCTGGGGCTGCTGCCCTGGAATTACAAGTGGAAATATTCCACATTTTATTTAGAATACCGCCTGTTCTTTGTAAGGCTAACCCCACCGCAAAATAATGGTTCGTATACATGTAGTTACTCTTTAGCAAACAAGTTGACCGCTCTCAATCATGTCTGATAATGGGAATTAGAGAATGATCATTAGGTGACATGCTACACAGTAGCATATCACCTATTGTGTTTGTACGAATCTTATTTATTATTTATTTATTTCTTTCTCCAACCGAATTTTGCCATCAATTATCTCAAAAAATTGTATCAGTATCATCTTCAGATATTTACAGTATCTTTGGCATCATCAGGAATCGTGCACCTCCTCTTTTTAGTGTCATCCAGGCACCATTTTGTGTTTTTATGTTATCATTCATATCTTCATAACAATCATAAATTGCCCAAATTCAATACACATTAACTTCAGGTCATTGGTCAATACATTGACAATCCATGTCCGTGTGCATGTCACGACGCGCACGTCAAAATTAAAAAATGCTGAAAATCACTCATGAACAATTTTGAGTACGAACCAGGTAACTTAGAGCATTTCAAAATTTTCTGTCCGTACGCGTCAGCGCGTAAGTTGTGAGCACTCAGAGCGCGCGAAAAAGGTCAAAATTCAAAATTTTTACATGATTTGGATTCTTCTTACCGTAATTGACAATTTCCATTAATTTCAGTCACTCTTGACCTTTCATAAGGCTGTGAGCGCGCGTCAAAGTTCAAAATCCGCGCGTGCTGCTATGGGCAATATAATGCAAATTTGATCAAAAACATGCCATTTTAAAAATCGAAATAGCTCTTCAGATAGTCCGTCGACCCCCAATTTTTATATTAAAGTTGGAAAGAGCATGAGTTAGAGATATGATTTCATACCACCCTGACTCGTACAAAGTGAAACAAAGTCATCATATTGGCATCTAAACTCAAAAAATGTATTTTGTTGATGACGTCATTTTTGTTTTTGTACATCAATCCTCTTCATGCCTCCTTTATCGTATCAGAAACAAGCACTCTTTTCGCTACAAAGCTTTGCCGCTGGATTGAAACGCGACACAAGCTTCGGCGACATAAAACATAATTAAAACTTTTTGCAACTCTTTTAAAAGCCGGAATTATTGTCATCGGGATCACTGTCGGAGAACCGAACTTAAAGCATTTTTTGCAACATTATTACATAGCAATCATATACAATTTTGTCACAAAATTTAACTGCACGATTATCCCATTAAATTACAAATTAATAGACCACATCGTGTGTCAAAACATCATGACAAATAATCATTGCAACATTCTTCAGGGGCTTCATTCCCAACCTCCTACCTTATTTGCCTATCAGATTAGGACAATTACCCCTAGACAATCATCTGGAAAATTACTCCCTCCCCCAGGAGAACTACCCCCAATCCAAGGACAATTACCCCCACCCCTGAAACTTAACCCTATAAATGCTACCGGTGTAGAGTCGGGGACAATTATTTAACTGCACGATTATCACATTAACTTACAAATTATTAGACCACATCGTTAACCAAAATTTTTGGTTGCTCAAACGAACGACAAATTATCATTGCAACATTCTTTGAGGGGGGGGGGGGAGGGGGAGGGGCTTCAATCTCGGCCTTCGGCCCACCTTTTTAGCCTATCATTAGGACAATCATCAGGAAAATTACTCCCTCCCCCCGGAAAAATATCCCCAAGGACAATTACCCCCACCCCTAAAAGTTTTGGCGCTAGCGTTGTTCCATATCCATTTTTTTTAGCAGTGTCATATCCATTCTTAGTAAAGGAAATTTAGCCTAATTTTTTACTAATTTCATCAATTTTAATCATAATCAAAGCTTATATCACATTTTCCACCTGAACTTGGATCACATCCGAAATCAGGAAGCCTCCACTTATATAGTTTTTCAACTCAAACTGAAGCTATCAGTCCAAAATTATGAAAACTTCTCGTGTGGTTTATGGCATTGTGCACTCCAGCAAATCATAGAGAGTCAATGCTAATGCGTATTGACCTCTATTGACCTCACTGCATGCTTACTGTGACTGAGTGTGAGGCAGGTATTATTAGACCCGCATACACAACACAGTCAGCTGTAAGCAAAGTTTGACACTAGACTTACAACTTGAATTTTTAAATTATTCTTTTTAACATCCGTAAGTTAAAAAAAATGTATTTTAATTTTTACTGCTATCTAGGTGTCATCAATTGTCACTAAAGTACCGATTTTTAGTGAAATCAGTTGACTTTTCTATAGATAGTCTAGATCTAGACCTAGACTAGGTCTAGTGGTGTTTGAAATGTTGAGAATCAAAAGCACATGCAGCTTTTAATACACAGCCAGGATAGTGATGCTCCTATGTACATGTATGTGTGGTATTACGCGCATGCACAATACCATATCCCATACGAGAAGTTTGCATAATTTTGGACTGATAAGTGATAGCTTCAGTTTGAGGTGCAGAGCTATACTATAGCGTAGAGAAGGTACTGAGCGACGACATCGACATCGAAGCCCTAAACAGGGGTTTCCCAATGTCTGATGTGATCCAAATTAAGGTGTAAAATGCAATAGTCTATAGATCTAGATCTAGATCTAGATGATTGATTGAAATTTGAAATTAGTAAAAAAATTGGGCTAAAATTCCTTTGCTAAGAATGGATATTATTATTAAACTGCTAAAAAAATGGATATGGAACTACACTAGCGCCAAAGTTTTAACCCTTATAAAGGACAATGACCCCCCCCCCCCCCCCCCGGACATGCCGGAGGACAACCGCCCCGAGGAAAATTACCCAAGTTTATTATTAAAGGGGAAGTCAACCCCGATAAGAATTTGGGTAATTTTTAATGGGAGATCATTTTCAGGGGGGGGGGGGGGTATTGTCCTAGAGCCTAGAGGGTAATTTTTCGGGGCGTATTCCAAATGTACGGCGCACAAGTTCTACGTGCGCTACTGTAGTGCAGTGAATGGCCGAACTAGATGCTACGACTACGAGTATAGACTAGACCCTACAGATCTACAGGTTTATCATTATTTACGTCTTCATCATATCCAATTTGGCAGCAATATTACATAATTAATACATTCCCTGTAACCTTTAAAATATCGAAAACTTTAATATGTACCGGTACTTTCACTTACGACAGTTTGCTCATTCAGCTCCCAAATTTATGTTTTCATTCGAAACCGACTTCTCGGATCGTCAGCATGGCGAGTCTGGATTGTCGAATTAGAACGCCAAGTGATCGGCACTCTAGGCTAGGCCTACGTGATCGATATGAATGGGCTCCAAGATTCGTTCATTTTATGCTTACGTACGTGCGCGCGAGCGTGAGATCCAACAAAATGTAAAATACCGTTACCGGTTTCCGCTCGATAGGCAGTTTTTCTCAGATAACTTCTCTGCAGTGGCGGATCCAGGGGTGGGGGTATTTGCAATGACGACCTTCGTCATTGCCTTGTTTTCGTTCACATTCTGCCCCATTAATATTCTCCTGGTTTTCCTTATCGTCCAGAAATCCTATTCGTTTTGCACGTAGTGCTTGTTATCAGGCGCGGATCCAGGGGGGGGGGGGGGGGGGGGGGCGTGCCTTGGCCCCCCCCCCCCCCCCCCCCACGCAAAAAAAAAAAAAAAAAAAAAGGAGAGAGAGAGAAGGAAAAGAATTAGGGAAAGAGGAGAGAAAGGGAAAAAAAGAAGAGGAAGAAGAAAAGAAAAGAGGGAAGAAGGAGATCGGGGGGAAGGACTTGCCTCCCCCTCCCCCCCCCCCCAATAAAAAATAAAAGAGAAGGAAGGAAGGGAAAGAAAAAAGATAAAGAGGAGATAAAGGGAAGGACAAAATAGGAAGAAGAAAAGAAAAGAAGGGGGATATCAGTTGCAATTTTCCCGTGTGGATCGAGGGGAGGGCAAAAGACCCTAGCCCCCCCCCCCCCCGTCCCCGCTAAAAAAAAAGAGAGAAGGAAGGAAAAGGAAAAGAGGAGAGCTAAAAGGGAACAAAAAGAGGAAGAAAAAAAGAAAAGGGAGAAAAGAAGCGGAGATCAGTTGCGGTTAATCCCGCCAACAATGTGCGGAGCGGGCCAAGTTGGGGACCAAAATGACCGTGCCCCTCCTCCCCCCCCCCCCCCCCCCAGCAAACCTAAAAGAGAGATAAGGAAGGGAAGGAAAAGTGAAAGAGGAGAGAAAGGGAATGGAAAAAAAAGAGAATGAAGAAAGGTAAGGGATATCAGTTGCAATTTTCCCGCCAACAAGGTGTAGATCGGAGGGGGGGGGGAGCACTGGCATACTGATAGAGGAGGGGGGGGGGTTGGAGAAATAGAATTAAAACGTGGTTTATTTATAATTCCATAACGGTGGTTAACAAATAATGCTGAAATGAGATAATTTTCCTCACTTCATGCGTTTGTTAGAAAATGACAAATTCCTAAATTTACAGCCAGACAAGAAAATGCTTCTTGAGATGCCTCCATATCAGGGCCCGCGGAACGGCGGGGATCGGGTTCCTCGAGCCCCTCCCCCACACTTTCTTTGAAAAAGTATATTAAAGAGAAATAGAAAGAAAAAGAGCGAGAAAGAAAAAATAGTTAACTGCCAGTGTCACATTATAATGGGGTATCAAAATATGCTCATCTATGATTAAAATTAATGCCTAAAATCCTAAGGGCTCTGCCCCCTGGATTCCACCTAGGGCCCTAAGGCGGGCCCTTAGATGCTCATAATATTATGATGGTCATTTAATGCCTAAAACCCCTGATTTCTGGGGGCTCTGCCCCCTGGACCCCACGCCAAATAGTGTCCTGCTAGTGTCACAAATAATAAGGTATCAAAAATGCTCATCTGACCGTAATTAAACGCCTAAAACCCCTGAGCTTCAAGGGGCTCTACCCCCTGGACCCAACCAAGAGCCCTTAGGCGGGCCCCTCGATACTCATCTGACCGTAATTGAGTGCCTAAAACCCTTGAGATTCCGGGGCTCCGCCCCCTGAACCCCAAGCCAATTAGTGACCTGCCATTGTAACAATTAGGTATCAAAATAATGCTCATCTGACCGTAATTAAATGCCTAAACTCCTGAACTTCCGGGGCTCTGCCCCCTGGACCCCGTCTAGGCCGCTAAGGCGGACCCCTGAATGCTAATCTTACCGTAAATTAAAACCTTAAACCCCTGAGCTTCCGGGGCGGACAAGGTATCAACATATGTTCATCTGACAGCAGGCGCGTAGCCAGGGGGGCGGTGGGGAAAGGAAGAGGACGTAGGAAGAAAAGGGAATAGACAAAGAACATATTTGAAATTCAGACAAGGATTAAGAGTCGAGAACGGTACAACGAATCGTCTTCTTTCTGTAATGAATTAATGAAACGTCAAAGCTTCCGCGCTACGCACGGGGAGTTCAGGGGGAACTTAATTCAGACGAGGATAATTTTCGGGAACGGTACAACGAATCGTCTTAATTCTTTCTATAATAATTTAATGAAACGTCGAAGCTTCCGCGCTTCGCGCGGAAGGGGGAGGGGGGGGGAAATTGATTTAGACAAGGATTAAGAGTCGAGAACGGTACGACGAATCTTCCTCTTTCTCTAATGATTTAATGAAAAGTAAAAGCTTCCGCGCTTCTCGCGGGTGGGGGAAACTAAATTATTTTCGAGAGCGGAACAACGAATCGTCTTCATTCTCTAAAAATTCAATGAAACGTCGAAGCGGGGGGAAAACTGAATTTAGACAAGGATTAAGAGTCGAGAACGGTACAACGAATCGTCTTCTTTTTCTAATGATTTAATGAAACGTAAAAGCTTCCGAGCTTTGCGCGGGAGAGGGGGATGAATTAAAACGAGGATTTAAGAGTAAAAAACTGTACAACGAATCGTCTTCTTTTTCTAATGATTTAATGAAACGTAAAATTTTCCGCGCTTTGCGCGGGAGGGGATAAACTATTTTCAGACGAGTAGGCACGTACGGAAGGGGGGAGGGGGTAGGGGGTTAGGGGGTTGACCCTCCCCCCTTCGGTTTTTTATGTGTGTATTTTGGAGCAACCCGGCCCCCTTTCTGTGTTTTTGTTTAATTTTTTAAAAAAATAAAAAAAAATATGCCAATGGCTGACCTAAAAAAGGTGACCTCACTTCCCCCCCCCCCAACGGAACAAAATGTCAAATTTTCAAATTTCGAGACCAAAAAAAAAAAAGTGTCCTCTTCCCCCCCCCCCCCCCCCCCCCCCCCCCCCCCCCCCGCTTATTTAGCGGCTGGCTGAGTCGTTACGATTTTTTTTTTCGGACCAAAAAAAAAAAGTGGGCCCCCCCCCTAAGAAATCCTGGATCCGCGCCTGCTTGTTATTCCTAGTTAGGTGCTTTTCTCATGCCCTTTTCCTTTCAAATTTCGTAGGCATCATCTCTAGCATCTCATCAAGGTCACTACATTCTTTGATTTTCGAAATAACTCATGCATAACAGTCAAGGCGCCATTTTGTCCGTTTCTGGTTCATTTTAAGGCCTTTCTATCTTCCTTCCTATCTCCACTACCCGGCCTAGATCCTACAAACTTTTAGCAAATTCCTCTAGATGGTCTAAGAGATGTTCTTTCATCTACGACGTATAACCTGCCCTTCAAAATGCCATCTTCATACTCAAAATTCAAATCTGAAACCGATTCCGTCAAAAATCTCTCAAATTCTTGAAAAATGGACCCCTAAATAATCTAAAACTGCCATAACTTTCTCATATAAGTTCCGCTTTGTGTTTAAATCTCACATTATCCTTATATCATAATTGCTAATAGCCATGCTAAATTTCATGCTCCAATGACTATGCAAAACATAAATAGCGCCCTCTAAAGTTCTGGGAATTGGCTTTCTTTCTGTGGCCGTATCTCCATTATGGCTTGGCAGAACCGTACCCTGTTTTGGATTTAGATACTTGAAGATATGCCCTTTTCAGCCATATACAAATTATATACCCTATCACTGACCAAATTTGAGAAAATTACCCTCCAAATTCGCCATGCATTTTCAAGAAAATTCCGAAGTAACTTCAACTTGCTCTAAAATGGCGATCGTTATACCTACATCAATGAAACTTAGCGGAAACATGTATCCATATACGTGACAACTGTTCAATAATTTTAGTAAAATTCGAATATGTCAGCGAAAAGTTATCGCCCAAAATGATGAATTTACTATGCATTACGTAATAGCTTATTTTGTGCGTGCAATACATTGCGCGCAAATGACAATGGTGTCGAACTGACCGCAATGACGTGCCCTTTCGAATGATACCAAGTATAGAATATGTTACATAGAAAATTGTGAGTAAATCGCATTTGAACAAAGGTCACTATACGAATTCCGCCGAGTTTCCGCCCGAATCTAACACGTATCGGCTAGGCCGGCCCCCTAGTAGTTTTGTGTGTTGAGAAAATATATTTTTTTCCCTATTTTTTTCCTATTTTTTCCTTATTTTCTGGAAATGCAGACTATTTTTTCCCTATTTCCTTCAAGAAAATAGGAAAAAAATAGGGCTATTTTTTTCCTATTTTCAAGTACAAACTATTTTTTCCCTATTTTTTTCACCTATATTTTTTTTCAGACTAGTTTTTTTCCTATTTCCTATAAAAAAACAGGAAAAAAATAGTCTTATTTTTTCCTATTTTCAAGTACAAACTATTTTTTCCCTATTTTTTCATCTTAATCTTTTTCAGACTATTTTTTCCCTATTTTTTCACCTTAATCTTTTTCAGACAATTTTTTCCCTATTTTTTCACCTTAATCTTTTTCAGACAATTTTTTCCCTATTTTTTTCACCTTTATCTTTTTCAGACTTCTTTTTACCTATTTGCGAGTACTATTTTCTTCCTATTTTTTGCACTTAAATTTTTTATGACATGATACAAATTTGTAAACTATTTTTTGTCTATTTTCGAAACTTGCATATTTTCATTGTTTATGACTGGCATCCTATTCAAAAAGCCCGCTTCTCCTGCCATTATCTCTGTTGTTCATTTTGCGACTTATTGGTGGTTTTTAGCTGTGGGGTCACATATTGAATAGTGAGCTCAAAGATGACCATAAATAAACAATGTGTAAAAAGAAAATGTACGAAATTTCAATTTTGTTCCTTTATTAATATTCTTGATTTTATTTTCAAACTATAGTAGTGACTAGTGCACTCAAAGATAACCATACATAAACCATGTGTAAAAAGAAAATGTACACATAGAAATTTCAACCAAAAAAAAATCTCCTTTATTAATAGAAAAAAAAGCATTCGATCGAGATATTCCCGTTCTATGTGTG